TATATATATTGGAGGAAAGAGCGGCTTATGACTCCTTAGGTGTATACATTCATACATATAGCAATGCCTATAGTCTAAACCTATAAATAGAAGGTTAGGGGGAAGAACGTATGATACCTCATGTCATTTGTACTAAAGTTTTGCACTTTATTAACAAGTAAAATCTTTAAATTTCTCATTCTAGACCCCATTTCTCTCTTTTATTGTTCTCTCTCTTGTCTTATGAACACTTATTAGTAAGTTTATTATATTCTCCACGGTCAAATAAGAATCCAATTATAAGAAAATAAAGTTTTAAGAATAATTTTACACTTATAATACTACTATAATAAGAATTAACAAAAAATAATTATCATTAATACACTCATGTGCAATTATGCAATTGATATGGCTATAAGTACTTATATATTAATTCAATACTCATGGTATCTATAACTAAATCATAATATTTTAAGGATATTTTTGCAATTTGAACCTAAAATTGAATAAATTTACCAAATCAATTTTTTTTTTTATTTGGACCTTTTTTATACTTGTAATGTTTTGTAGCCATCACTTGCCATCCCATCTTATTATAATAACTATACTACCTTTCTTGCATGATGTTAAATAAAAAGTTATATAATTTTTTTTTCGAGTCATTTCAAGCCGAACACGAGCGAACAAACCGTTGTTCATGTTCGACTCGTTTAAATTTCGAGCTTAAAAATTTGTTCGTGTTCGGCTCGTTAGGCTTAATGAACACGAGCTGCTTAACGAGCTTAACGAGCCGAACACCAGCTGTTCACGAACAACGAGCCAAATTGACAGCCCTACTTGCATCACTTAACAAAATTTGAAATCTTCCACAATAAAGTTAAAGTGCAATGTCAACCTTGCAATACTTCATCACCAACTTTCTCTCTCTTGAAATAGCACAAATAACTCATATATATATATATACTCTGAATCTCTGATCTTCTATCATTTTCTTTATACTATTGTCCCTATAATGCTTTCGGTGATTGCTAAGAGGTTTTCCTCTGTATATGCAGATGCCACATCATGACCGTTGAACAATCAGGAGGGATGGCTCTGATCTTACTCTCATCCTCCAGCACTGCTTGATGGACGAACCTGATTGAATCCTGAAATCATGATACAACATTATTTTTTAAGTATAATTTAAAAAACACATAGAATTCAGTGGCCACCATGCAAACTTCCACCCCACTACGTACTTAGTGCTTCATATATATATATATATA